TGAATTTACAAATTAGTCCTTTCGTCCCCAATCACTATCAATCATAAGAAAAAGCTAGACCCAGCTGCTGGTAATGGGGCGGGTACTCGATACCATACCCACAAAGCGAATCCAATTTAAACGTTATATTTTGAAAATATTCATTTTTCACTACAAAAATCAAAACAAACTATGACATAGTTAATTTACTTAATTATTCGTAAAATTAAGATTCTCACATATTTACAACTTTATCATAGATAAAATATTAGATAATAAAAGTAAAATACTAAATAATTTGAGTAAAATTACATGAAATTTAAGCAAGAAGGGGTAAAAATGGGACAAGTCGGTGCAATCAGGTCGAGGGCACTTACCATGCCTGTCCAGCCTCGCCCCGGATATGGATATTAGCATTAGCGAATCCAGGGGGAGGCCAACCCGGGTCACGGCCCAACCCTCCTTTGGCTCTAGAGCTAGTAAAGCACTTCTAATATTTTTCATTTTAGGCATTCGATGTAGTGCTAAACGGATTATAGACTTATAGTCCAACTTTAGGTCACATGAGTCGTGAGAAAGTAGTCGGCACTCCTGCTCTAGAGCGCAAAAACTCAATTTGGAATGGATTCGCGAAAAATCCGCGATTTATTATCAGTTGGAGCGCGATTTTCACTGTGAAATCCGCGAATATTTTTTGACATGACAGCGCGGAAGAGAAGGAGGGGAACTTTCGGCGGTGATATCCGTCGAGCTGGTGAGATGGAATCGCCGATAAGGTTTATAGAGGAAGCCAGAAATAGGTGGGATCTGCATCTGAAAGACCCTGAAAGAGACTTTGTTGATTCGCCGGTCGGCAGACGACGAACGATATCGCAGTTCAATTCAAACACAGGTTGAGTTTGGCGAATCACCATCGGATCTTGTTTGTGATTGAAGAGATTGGAAAGTTGTACGAAGAAAGGGGATTTGTCGATGAGAAAGAAAAGAATTAAGAAGTTGTTGAACGATGGGAGTAGGGTGTGAACGTTGCGCCGGCAATTTTTCATATGAAATGGAATTTTGTTTTCTGATAAGGGGAAGGAGGCAAGGGAGTGACTTAGAGCATCTCCATCAATGCAATTGCAAAAGAAATTGCATATGTGTTTTTTATTGTCAATCCAAATTTTTTGCAATTCACATCACATTCATTTCATTCACCTACATCAATGCAATTAACTTGCAATTGCAAATATAATTAAATATTATGTTTAAATTATAGACAATGAAGTAAAAGAGAAAAGAAAATAATATAAAATACAAAATCCCCATTTTTTTAGGCTTTTTTGACTTGCATATGGAATTGCATTTGTTGCAAGCTTGCAAATATGCAATTGGTATCCATATCAATGCAATTGGTTTTGCAATTGCAAACACCTATGCCATGTCATTTTGCAATTGAGAATGCAATACCAATGTGGATGCTCTTAGGTTTAGGGGTTCAGCATTGGCCATAGATTTGGGCTTTTGGTCCGTGTTGTTTGGCCATTATGTGGTCTATTTTTCTCTCTAACTTTCATTTTAAATTATTAACATTTGGGTCGTTGAACTTAGGTATTATTTTACACAAGTGTATATGTTGAATTATATTTTCTTATTGTATTTTTCATAGATGTGTGATGATATCTGTAACCTATGATAATATATCAGATATTAATATTTTTTTTATAAATGGATGCAGCACATCTAACTTTCATTCACAACCAAACGAGTCTCAGAGAGACCTTGACAGTCATACAAAAGAATATGATGGAAATCAGGAATTGAACAAGATAAATTGTGGAAGCCTAAAGGTAAGCAGTGACCGTGGTTTGCAAGGAAGTCAGCTCCCTTGTTGCCCTCTCGGTAGATATGATGCATGGTAACCTCCCAGTCGCGTTGAAGCAATTCCTGGAAACGATGGATAATGGATGCATGTGGGTGGTCGGGAGCGTCATGATTATGCAGAAGTTGCACAGCACACTGCGAATTAATCATTTTTTGGCTCTCTAACTACATAATTCTCTATAGATAGACGCTCTCATGCTCTCGTTCCCACTCCCGCTCTCGCTCCATGAATCGAAATCCTAAATCTAGCTCACTCCACCTCTTTTTAAATGCGACTATCCACTCCAAAACAAGTCAAACAAGCCTGGCAAAATGGGTCATGTCGAAATCGTCATATCCTCTCTCCCCCTTATTAATAGGGTTGAGAGCAGATTTGTAGCTTCTCCTTCTGATTGGATGGATTGCCTCCAGCTCATCGATCAAATTCATCAATTTCAACAATGTCACTTGTGGTTATAGGTGTCAAAACAGAACACGGCCCAACTAAACCGCCTGATCAACCCGACCCGCAACCCGCCCACAACCCAAGTTGACTAAAAGTCAACAACCCGTAACCCGGCCGACCCGCAACCCGATTGACCCGCAACCCGACTAAGCCGCAACCTGACTGACACGCAACCCGATTAACCCGAACCCGACTAACCTGTAACCCGACCGACTCAACCTGAACTTCTCCTAATCCACTTGAATAATTATTATATTATATAATACAACTTTTGGGAAGACAAAGAAGAGGGAAATTAGGTTCTTTGAATTGTTTAGGTAAAATTATATAATACAACTTTTCATTCTAAACTTAGGTAAAATTAAAAAAAAATTATTTCTTCATTTCATATAGAAAATTTAAAAATAAGAAACTCACTTGATATTATTTATTTTAATAAAAATGTAAAAATTAAAATATGAATGTCACTTGAACACTAAGTAAAGCAATGTATTAGATAATTTGATCCTTATAAAGAATAGGAAAATTTTGGTGTATTCAACTTTTTGGAAAGAGAAAGAAGAGGGAAATTAGGTTCTTTGAATTTTTTAGAAAAGAAAAGGGGGGATTTTTTGTTGTTTTGATTTGTGGGAAGGGAAGAAGTGGTAAAGTTTGGTTCTTTTGAGTATGAAGAGAAATAATGAGGAAAATTTTGAGTTTTCAACTTTTTGTGGAATGAAGGAAGGAAAAGAGAAATTTGGTTCTTCAAATGGAAGAGAAAGAGGAGGGGAATTTCAAATTTGGTTTTTTCAATTTTATGGAAGAGAAAAATGAGGGGAAAATGAGTGTTTCTAATTAATGGAAAGAGAAAGAAGGGGGAGAATTTTAGTATTTTAATTTTTTTAAAGAAAAAATAAAACAAATTTGGTGTTTACAACAATCATTTATTTTAGCAAAATTCACTTAATTTTTCTACTTGTTTTCTATGCTTCTATATTTATTGCAATTTCAACACTACATGATCGTTATTTTACAACATTTAGTAAAATTTTCGCACATTTAAGTTGTGTTCAAGTTGAACTTTCATTTCAAAATGGGTGTTAAACTTGACATGTTAAGTCTTACGATTGCAATACCTCAGTCAAGTTGCGGGTTTGAAAATTTTGGTTAATCGGGTTGCGGGTCACTTTGGAAGGGAAAATCAGATGGAGATTTGGATGAGAACTTTGGAATGGAAAATTTATGGGGGGTGATTATGAGCCAACAATTATACTAAACATAATAAGTAATTTTTGACGGTTCTTTGTTTAGCGTATAAAGTATATGGTTAGGGTATAGGGTATCATCTACATATGGTTTAGGGTGTATATGGTTAGGGTATAAGGTATTGATAGTTTTGACGATTCTAAATTTTTTATTAACATATGTTCACTTGAAGTCTTTTAAAATATTTAACGGCAGGAGATCCCTTTTTAATTTATGTTTATGGTACGTGGTTAGGGTACAGGATGTATGGTGTAGAGTATAGGATATATGGTTAGGGTATAGCAAATATCACTTTTTTATCTATGTTTCGAAAATCAAAGTATGAATTTCACATTAAATTAACTATACTAGCAAAATCACAACTCATAGGGATATATGGTTAAGGTATAGGGTATGTTGTTAGTGTATAATATATAGATGGTTTAGGGTATACGATCAACATATATTAACTTAATATTGTCGATTGAGAGTAAGGCTAAGTGTATAGGATATATGTTATTGAGTAAGTTATGATTGAAGTCACAACAATTGTACTAAATTTGATAGTTAATATTTAATGGTTTGATTTTTAGGGTAATTCGAACAATTTTACAAATAACTCGTTTGGCAATTGTTTACTGAAGTTATTGGAGAAATGAATTACTTCGAAATAACTCCTTTTACCACTATGCTTTTGCCAAATACCACACGCCAAATACCAGATATGCATGGTTATACTAAAGAGATACTATAATCCAAATACTACTAAAATAATATCAAAATACCAAGTACATAATTAATGGTGTCTTTTGGTTGCAAATGTTGATATAACCATTACTATTAGCTAGTGTACTTTAGTACTTTACCCATTATGATCAATTACATAACAAGTTTGCAAGCCATATAAATTTATTCAACATTTTGACTAGTTTTTTTAAAATTAAGTATATATATGGTAGAAAGAAATTGGTTAAAAAATGATTAAAACATTTTAAATTAGTGTAATAAAGTGTAAGTTGGTAACGAGTAAGGAGTAAGTTACTCGATGCGCTGATCCGAACAACCCGCAACCCGCCCGACCCAAAACCCGATGAACCCGTAACCCAATTTGCTCGCAACCTGATTGAACCCGAACCCTATGAGCCCGCAACTCGTTTGAACGCAAACCCGATAAACCCGCAACCCGATGAACCCGCAATCCGTTTGAACCTGAACCCAATTGAACCCAGCTCGAACCCGCCCGATTGACTGCTTGTGGTTCAGGGTGGCAACTGGTAGTCGCGGCATCTATTAGGGCTGGCTATTTGGTCCGGATTTTTTTATTTTACCCAAAACCGGACCGTATAACCCGGACCGGGACCGGATAGTAAACAATCCAATCTAATCTTTGAGTTTAACCAACTCCTCACCTTTCAGGCCTTAGGCCACTCAAATCCCCACAAGCTCAATATAAAATCAAGACCGGATCAAGACCGGACTGTATCCAATCCAATCTTTGGTCCTTATATTTTTAAAAAGACCGGACTGGACCGGATCAATTTAGACCAATTTAACCGGATTAGCCACCCCTAGCATCTACTTCTTAGCTTTGAGTTCTCCCTGATCTCGGTTAGTTCCATATCATAAACATCAATACAGATAATTCGCCATTACAGCAATCAAGCTCGATTTACCTGTCCCAAGACAAGAGGGTTGAACGGTGAATACCCTATTTTGCGAGCCTTCCCAAATTCACTGTAGTAGTCCATCCTATTCACAAATCTCTCTAGAGTCTAGATCTTTTAAGATTGTGTTCTTCACGCAGCTTTGGCTGCCAATTGTGGCTCCAATTAGCATGCCACCCAATCCAGTTAAATTTAACTGAACAGGCAGAACCCTATGAATCCAAATTATCTGTTTTTGCATATTAGAATCCAACGCTCCGGACTAGAATGTAAACCAAGTTAATAAAAGATCTACCAAGGTAGTCGAGATCAATATGCATAGTATAAGACTAGATGCAAAAAAGAAATGACAGAATACATAAAAATATCATCAGCCTCCTTAAGCGCCATCATGCAAATGGAAAGAACCAAGATCCAAAATGGCAAGAAGAGCTTACAAGTACTAACAACAGATACCAAAAACTTGCAGGGCTCTGCTGACACTGATCTCTAATTCGCTCTGGGGGTAGCCCACTCAACACGAAGGATAAGGTTGTCATAACCATATCCGTTCAGCTTGTTTATCGCCCTCTCAGCATCTTCCTTGCTCACAAAGTTGACGAACCCAAAACCTCTGCTGACACCAGTCTTCTGATCGATAGCAACATAGACACGACTCACAGGACCAAATGGGCGGAAGAGATCGAGCAAGTCCGGCTCACGTGTGTCCTCAGAGAGGTTGGTGACACGAACCGAATTCTCTTCATTCCTGCGCCGCATATCCGAACCAACACTTCTCTCAGCACCAGGCCTCATGCTTGGTGGGACATAAGAACCCTTGGTGGCTCCGCCAGGAGCAGCAGCCTCAGATGTAGGAGGTTTGTCAACAAATGATTCGACCGGGGCAGCAAGATCCTTGTACGGACACCTCGATGTCCAGTGATCTCCTTTCTTCCCACATGTTCTGCACAACATGAGAACTGCTCCTTTGGGTAGCTGAGTCAAGCTATCACCACCCAACTTGTTTTCTTCCTGTTTGCTACCTATTTAACCCATTACAAAATTTGAGAGAAACTCATGTTAGCAGTTATCATGGTCTTAGAAACCAACAAGTCCACGTGGTATCCACACAATGAAGAAACACTTTCATGGAGGCTAATGAGCACATCCATTATAAACAACAAAAGGAAGTGGCATTGGAGAAGTGAAAAGGCAGAAAGAGCAAGTAGGTCAGTGATTACAATACAATACAGAACTTAAAGTTCAAAGCAATTGGTGGCGAACTTGTGGATGTTGTTGATGACCTATGGCAGTGAAACCAAATTATAGTTCACCATTGAATGCCGCCAACAGAATCTCAGTTTCGGTGGTATACTGACCATTCACATAAATCAGAAGCTCAAAGGCTAACATGTGACTGGCTAATTGACCACCATAAACAAAACAGCAAAAACAGAAATGGTGCAGCCATAAACAGAGAGAACGGGCATGAACAGGATATGAATGAAACATTCAACAGCGTTCAAATTGATCAGTGCTTTAATGTCTCCGTAACTGAATCGCCCAACTTCTAAGATAACATCAGTACACCCACCATGTATTCACAAACACATAGCATAACAAATGCTAACAAATCAATGGAATGAAAACACAGAAATTAACCCGAAAAAGGAAATCACATTTCTCAATACCCTTATATCGAATAAAAGCAGCCAGACACCATAATCAGGTTACTCGCATCTTAAAACGAAAGGAAGATATCAAACAAACTTCAGATGGAAAAGAAATGACGAAGAGACATGACACAAACCTGGAGCCCTGGGTCGTTCAAGCACGATCTCCTCCGTAGAGACCATAGTTAGCCGAGCCCCTACGTCCTCATGGACTGCGTCGCCGAACTTTGGCCAATTTCTCCGTTCCAACGCCCGTCGACTCAGGCGGGCCTTGGCCAGCTTCCTCACGCGGGTCGTCGTCGTGATCTTCACCTTGTTTCCATCGTCGTTGAACTTGTACTCAATAACTCGTTTAATCCCACTCTCATCGGGTCCAATCACTTCTTTCGGAGGCAACAGGAAGTCCAGATCCTCCCCATCATCCTCGTCCAATTCACCCCACCGGAGCTTGCTAGGTGCGGATTTCTCGATCGCCATGTTCCGCTCGAACGATAAGGAGGAAAGCAGAAGCGGCGGCAGCAGCAGGTGTTGATCGGGACTTGTATTAGGGTTTGAGCGAGCTGCCACAGTTCTAATGAAATGAGAGGACTACAATTCGTTGTGGTTTCCTTATATTCCACCGCAACGGCCCATTAAGATAAGCTGGTTCAGGCCCGACCCAGCACGGCTGAGGAAGAATAAGTTGCATAGCATTCCTTGTTTATTTTACTAGCTCAGTACTCGGCCCATTTGCAGGATTGCCAAAATATATTTATAAATTATATTCTAACCTTATATAATTCTCTTAAATAATATAAAGGCTAATTTATTTCAAGGAATGCAAGTAAATTAAAGGGTGGTATCTTATTATCGCCGAATTATACTTAAATAATCAACTTTGGTCCGTGATTTGTGAAATTAATATCTTGGCATCAACTATACGGTGTATAGACTCAATTGGCCAGACGCGTGATTTGACGGTCAACGGAACACCTCACTGCCATGTCGGTGATGTTGACTAACGGTCAAAGATGTTGACCATCTAAATAGACGGTCAAACCACGCGTCCAGAGAATTGAGTCTATATGCTGCATAATTGATGTCAGGATGTTAATTTCTAAAGCCACAGACAAAGTAGATTATATGATTATAGTTCAGACAAAAATAAGGTATTAAACCTACATTAAAATTTGGAATGAAAGCTATATACCATGCCAAGTATATATAATTAATATGAATTTGTATTTCAAAAAATATATAATTTATAGTTTTATATGGAAAAAATCAAACACATCGAAATGTTTATCAACGATGATCTCACATTAGAAAATAGAAACTCACCCCAATCCCCTCGGCCCGACAAAAATGGTAGCCTTTTATCATGATTTTTAAAATATTTTCTTTTATTTGAACCTGTTATAAGGTAAACTGGACAGTGATGGTTATGGATAGCAATTGGGCGGGTTTGCCTAAACCATCTCCATCCTCGCTTTCAAATATCTATATCCATACCCTTCTCATACTCATGCAGGTGAAGGTTTTGCAAATCCATCCCCATACCCATGGATTTCAGGTAACTATGGGTAATACCTATAGGTGTCAATCGGGCGGGTTCGGGCTGGGTTCAATCGGGTTGCGAGTTAGTCAGGTTACGGGTTCATCGGGTTCGAGTTCAAACGGGTTGCGGGTTATTCGCATTCAGGTTCGGGTTCAATCGGGTTGCGGCCAATTGGGTTGCGGGTTCATGGGGTTGGGTCGGGCAGGTTGTAGGCGGATCAGGATGCGGGTTGTTCGGTTCAATGCATCGAGTTACTTTGGGTTGAATTTTCGGGTTGGGCAGGTTGCATGCGGATGTATCGGGAATGGTGTTATACCGATTTTTTGAATTGAACTTTCAATTAATACATATTTTTTGATTATTTAAAAACAAGTGGAATTGTTATTATACATTTTTATAGAGAAATTGTTTTTAGCTAGTTAGTTATTGGTATGATTTATAGTATTACCCTAAACTATAAAATTTAGTAAAATTGATGTGACTTCAATTGTAACTCTACTCACTAACGTATAATCGAAACTATGAATAGTGAACCCATATACCCATATTTAATTTAATAATCCGAGGATATAGTCTATACTCTAGACCCCTAATGGTCTGATTCATGAACATATGTTAATAAAAACTTGAACCTTGTTAGTTATGATTTTGAGTTTTTGACTAATCGTGGCCATTCCATTAATACCTTATACCCTAAACATATATCTTATACGGTGACTCTATAGTCTTTACCTTAAACCCTATATGGTTTGGTTCATGAATATATGTTAACAAAATAATTGATCCTTATTAGGTATTAGTTAATGATGTTGACTAATCGTGCATAAACCATTAATACCTTATAGCCTACTTTGACTCTATGGTCTATACCCTAAACTCTAAATGGTTTGATTCATGAACATACGTTAATCAAAAACTTGATCCTTATTAGTTATTAGTTATGATATTGACTAATCGTGGCTAAACCATTAATACCTTATACTATTTAGAGACAAGGGTAATGTCTATTTTTTATCCAAGTCCTGTCCCACGCTACAGCAGGCCGAAGCGAGTAATATTCTCATGGGTACGGGACGGGGCAGCTTGACCCACTCTTACATGTTTTTTGAAAAAATACATGCAAAATTCTACTTTTTCGATAAAATGAAGAGGAAAACACTTTATGAATGAAAAATAGTGATAATAGAATGGGTGATTAAGTCTAACTAGTTGAAAGATCAATAACAAGTTGAAGAAAAGTCAAAATAAGAAAAATATGAATATGTAAGGTAAGAAATTAAGACATAACGGGCCAAAAATGGGTCGGGGCAAGACAGAGTGTGTTGGAAGTAGATATTCATGCCTCCACGCTAGTGCGGGTCGGGACTTCGTGTAATACGCACCCAATTGCAGGTTAGTTGGAATAAAATCCGACAGGACAGATTCAAATTGTCATCCTTAAAGATGGTGCTATTAGAAGAAAAATGGAAAAATACTATAGTTGGGAATCGAACACACGACCTGACAATGAAAGTGTACTACTTTGCTCCGCTATTCTTAGTCTTAATTAATTACTATAATTGAATTAGCTTTAGTTTATTATAAAAAAGACATAGCTTTAGTTAGTAATATTCATATGTTGTGCCTACCCTAAATAATGATCATATAATGTCAAAAAGATGATGAGTATCCTCTCATCTGGATTAATAAATGCCAAACCAATCGGAAAACGGAAAAAAATGTTACAAATGGTCACTGGATTGTAGGATTACTAACAAATTGGTAAGATGACTTTAAATTCTAACAAATTTTTCGTTAGCGTTTTGAATAACATACTAAATAGCCGTTTTGTTTATCCATATTAAGTTTATTGTCGGAGTAGTCCAACAATGTGTGAATTCGCATGTTTTAATAATGAGATAAAATCGATCCTTAATAAGAAATTGAGTAAGTTGAGAAACAGATTATCATAACCTTAGGTGACAGTGACGAAACTCGATCAAGTAATTAGTTTCATTTCAATAGATTATGAGTTAATAACAAGTTGTCTGGATTAGCTAAGTACGATCCATACAACCTGTCTATTATTAATTCAAACGAGTGGAAATGCTAATCCCGACCTTTCAGATGAATAGGGTTGACATTCTCAAGAATATCATATGAAGTTGGATAGTGAGAGGCGACCATGTTAATCATTCCATTGCAATCTTATGCTAAAAATTCAAAGCCCAATAACCAATTTGTAAGTGCTCCTAAAGTTGAGTGACCGTTTCCGAAATTGTGCTCTTAATATAATCTGTGACCAATTATTCTTTCGTAAAGGTAACTATCAAGAGTTGTTGTCTCCGTGGCACTTCCACATTAAACAAGTACCGGGCATGCTTGTCATTTGTCAAGTAGTTGAACCTGAATATTGCCGTCTTTCCCCTCAGAAGATCCTTTCCGCACAAATAAAATATGGTAAGGCCTTGTTGTCTACACTCTCCGCAAGGCATCTGCTTCTCCTTCTTCTCGGTTCCTTCGTCTTCTTAACAGCAACCCGCAGAATTGAACCATTGAGTAACAGGGCAAGATGGTGGTAGCAGCAGTGGCAGAGCTTTGGAAGCACAATGAAGAGATCGTTACCCTTTTGAAGAACAACTACGACCTCCTAATTGCAGCTTTCCTAGCCGTAGCTGCAACTTTCCTCGTGTCAAAAGCCTGGAGCAAAGGCGGCGCCCGGAGTATCGACGTCCCAGGCCGCCTCGGTCTGCCGTTCATCGGCGAAACCTTGGCCTTCCTGTCGGCCACCAACAGCTTCAAGGGGTGTTACGAGTTTGTCAACCTCAGACGGTCAAGGTGAGCTCGTTGACCGATTCTCCCTGGATATTATTCAGTCTTTCTGAAAGCTTTCATTCTGATGCTGTTTTTTGGTTGTGAAACAAAACAGGTATGGGAAGTGGTTCAAGACGAGGCTGTTCGGGAAGATCCACGTGTTCGTCCCGACGACAGAGGGAGCCAGGAAGATATTCACCAACGACTTCTCCTACTTCAACAAAGGTTACGTGAAATCCATGGCAGACTGCGTAGGACCAAAGAGCTTGCTCTCTGTTCCTCACGAGAGCCACAAGAGGATCAGGCGCCTGCTCTCCGACCCTTTCTCCATGCCTTCCCTCGCCACCTTCGTCGTCAAGTTCGACCAGCTGCTCTCCCAGAGGCTCGCGAGGCTGGCGCGAAATGGGGACAGCTTCAAGGTCCTCGAGTTCAGTATGCAGGTCGTCAGCAATCCGAACCACACCATACATCAAACTGAATTTAGTTGGGGTTCTGAAACATTGACAATTTGGAGCTCTTTCTCTTTTGGTCTATTTGGCAGATGACGTTTGATGCGATGTGTAGCATGCTGATGAGCGTCACGGAGGAATCCTTGCTGCGAGAGATTGAGAAGGATTGTACTGCTGTTTCGGAAGCGATGTTGTCGTTACCAGTTATGATTCCGGGAAGCAGATACTACAAAGGAATCAAGGTAATGTGTTTTACCCACAAGATTTTTTGTCCTGCAACATTTTGGGAAAGAACCTGAAACTGGCTTGTGGGAAGAGAAAACAGGCGAGAGAAAGGGTGATGGAGAGATTCAGCGGAATGATTGAGAGGAGACGGAGTGGAGTGGAGAGTCATGAAGATTTCTTGCAATCCATGTTGGCCAAGGATTCTTACCCGTCTACCGAAAAGCTGGAGGATGCGGAGATCATGGATAATCTGCTGACTCTGATAATTGCAGGGCAGACAACAACTGCTGCCGCCATGATGTGGAGTGTCAAGTTCCTGAATGACAACAGAGATGCTCAGGACCGCCTCAGGGTAACGAAAAACTCTGAAAAGATCGAACCTGTTCCTTCTTTTGTGGAAATTTTGATAAGAACAGTCTTCTTGAACGTATGTATGTCGATTGTTGTTACAGGAAGAACAGTTGGCTATCACCAGGAAGAAAGCAGATGGCTATCTCCTCAGTCTGGAAGACATCAACAGCATGTCCTATGGTCTAAAGGTATGTTCTCAAAACAAAACAAATCCTTAAGAACACTGGATTGCTTTAGAGGAAAAAAGTTCACTTCTGAGACTTCTAACTAACCAGGTCGTGAAAGAGACGCTGAGAATGTCAAATGTCCTGCTGTGGTTTCCCAGGGTTGCTCTGAATGACTGCACAGTCGATGGCAAGTTTTTCCCGCTCGATTACCGTAATAGAAACTCTTTCTCCATCTCTCTCTGTCTCTCATGGTGTCTTGGTTTAATCTTCTTCAGGAATTGAGATCAAGAAAGGATGGCATGTAAACATAGACGCGACATGCATTCATTACGACCCAGTTTTGTACAAGGATCCTCTGCAGTTCAACCCTTCCAGATTTGAAGTAAATAATGATGATCTCTCTAATTCTAATTCTACCCTCCTCTAGTAGCGATTCAGGCTGCTATATTTCATATCCCACCAACTCGAAACCTGTATATCGTGTGCGAGCAGGAAATGCAGAAGTCGTACAGTTTCATACCATTCGGGTCAGGACCTCGAACATGTTTGGGAATGAACATGGCCAAGGTGACACTCATGGTGTTCCTCCATCGCTTAGCCGGCGGGTACAAGTGAGTAGCACCCTAAGTGGTCCAGATCTGGGAATTCTATGTGAAAGATTTACCTGATTTCTTGTTCTGGGAACTCGATGTGATGTGTTTCAGGTGGACCATGGATGATTTGGATCTCAGCCTGGAGAAGAAGTCCCATATTCCAAGACTCAGGAGCGGTTGCCCTATAACCTTAAAGGCCCTTTGAAACCGCAAGAAATGAAGCATAAGCTAGTCATATGTACAAACAACAAAGCATCCAAAACAATGTCAGTTACAAAACACATGTGTTTTATCGTGTGATGTAAGTTCATCAGTTTTCAGCTAAAAAAATATGCACAAACAGCACACGAGCAAAAGCCACAGTTCATTTGTAGTTCTTATTCAGTAAAAGTGTAAAACCATTAGAGAAAGGAGTAAAGGTTACTCGAAGCAGCAGGCGACACTGGATGCTTTTACTTTTTTATGGCAATCGATTTATACTTCCGCATTGTGCTCGTTATAGCTTGTTCAACAGGGAGCCTCTCCATGCTCGATGCGCCATAGAATCCATGGACTCCATTAGTCCTCTTAAGCACAAACTCTGCTTCCTTGGGTCCAGATACTGGGCCTGGACAAGCAAAATTCAGAATTCGTGCGTTGGTAAGAAGTCAAAAAGAGATATAGAGAGCTTGCACATAAAGAAAGCAAAACAAGAAACATCCACCTCCATGGCAGAGCACAATAACAGCAGGGTTGATGTAGTGAGCAGCATCTGCAATAGCTTGAACACGATCTACACTTTGCTCGAGTGAGATGGCGGTTTTGGCACCGATGGACCCGGAAGTCGTTAGTCCCATATGAGCGACAATGATGTCAGCACCAGCCTTTGCCATTGCAGTGGATTCATTCGGGTTGAAAGCGTATGGTGTTGTCAAGAGACCCATTTTATGGGCCTTTCCAATCATCTGGACCTCAAGGCTGCCACATAGGAAAAGAAGCAGAGTAACTAGTAAGCATAATTTAACCAATTACCAAAACAAAGAAGAAAACCAAAGGAGAGGGAAATTTGGTAGTGAAAGAAATACCTATATCCCATTCCTGTCTCTTCCAGATTTTGTCTAAAGTTGCCATCAAACAGGCCAACAGTTGGGAAATTTTGCACCCCATTGAATCCGATGGATTCCAGCCCCTTCAGGAAGTAATCCATTCTCCGGAAGGGATCAGTTCCACACACTCCAGCAAGCACTGGTACTCTTGTAACTACCTGCAACATTTTTCTCAGTAGGTATCAGTAATAGCCAACTCCAGATGAATTTGCTCTTATTCATTTGTAAGACTTGGCTAGTGCTGCAACATTCTCGAAGGCACTATTCAAATCAAGAACAGAAGGTATGAAAAAAAATCAGACAATCATTAACGGGTACTGACTCACAATGGTTTCTCAGAACAGAATTATATAATTGCTGACTGTTTAGTTAAAAGAGCTTTAATGAACAACTGTTCCTCAAGAGGAAATGAGAATGCTTGTCAACTTACTGGTAAAACTTCATTTGCCATTTCCATCACAATGGCATTTGCATCAGCAAACGGTAACAAGCCTGCCAAAGAACCCCTTCCTGCCATTCGAAAGCGGCCCGAGTTGTACAAGACTATGAGGTCAACACCACCAGCTTCCTCAAACTTGGCAGATATCCCTGTTCCTGCACCAGCCCCAATTATAGGGAATCCTTGATCGATTTGACCTCTCAGTTGCTGTAATATTGTGCTGGTCTTTTGCAACGTCTCTGGGACAGTATATATGAGCGGAAATACATCAGTTAAACAAATTACACACTCTCCACCTTTTCGAAGTAAAAATCAAACTGCTTTCTGAATGATAAAGCTGCTCCAGTAACAGAGTCCACTGATCACCTGGTCTAGCATCAGGGTAGTTGCTTGGGCTGTATGGGATGGTTGCACATCTTGATGATTCTTCTACACTACTATTGCTTTGATCCTCGGAAGGTTTGGATGCTGTAGCTTCTGGAGGATTTGGATCCAGGGGATGTTTTGCACTGATCTCCAGAAATGCATTAACCAGGACATTGGCAAACTCAGGATCATTGATATTATAAGGAAACACCTTCACCTGCAAGAAAGCTTGCAATTTGAGAACGTAACCTCCAGATGGAAAGATACAGTGGCTTCCAAAATTGAAAGCAAGAACAGAAAGGTGGCTGGAACCAGTTACCTGCCTATCCTCAGTCTTCTGGATCAAATGTTGTAGTTCATTCAGTAAAGTTGAAGTTGCATCTGGATCATAAAAGGGCTTCCCATGAGAGTCCAAAGCTGAGACGCCCTTTTCTGGCAGACAAACACGGATCTTGGCTGGTGATTTATTGAGTTTATCAGCAATGAATGCAGCAAATTTTTTATTTTCATCTGCTGTTGTTCTGATCAACGAAACCTGTAAGTGGAAAATGATGATTACAAGGGCACTAGCTTTGCTCCCTGGGTAGAAGGGGGAAGAAAAGGACAGAAGTTACAAAGGCATATTTAAGAGAAATCAAGGATTTAGATATACCAACATGCTTGAAGCCATACCTTACTTGACTCGATCTAAGCAGTTATGGTAACCGAGAACAACAGACCTCAATTTTGCCGAATCTCATGGAAGCTTAGCTAAATAACAGTTTACTGAAGAGTTCTTACCTGTTCGTTATGAACGTGAATTTTCCTTTGTTGGAAATGAGAAGGTATAGTATCCTTTGCTCCGAAATTAACCATGTCCAAGGCTCCTACACTCAGGACCAAAGGAATCTTCTTCTCTATCAAGGCATCAAAACGAGAACTGTCACATGCCATAACACCCCCAACTATGTAATCCGCAACTTCTGTAGTAGTAATGTCCAGAACACCCTAGGCAAAACCACAAGGTGAGAAACAAACTACCAACCCTGAAACACTAAAAGGGAAACCCAGCGAAACAGTCTGAAAATTCCACAATACGCAAACAGATAAGATACCTGTATAAACCCCTGTCTCACAAGATTCTCCATTGCCATGCCTCCAACGCCAGTAGCATGGAACACTAACGTCTCATAACCTTCTTTTTCCAGCCTTTCCTTAACAGCATTTACACATGGAGTTGTAACCCCAAACATGGTCATCCCCACAGTGGGTTTCGAACTTTCCCCAGAAGACCTCCCAGCCCTATCCAGCCTTCCAACAACCATTCCAGCAAAAGCAGCTCCGGCGTTGGATAAGACCGCCCTACTCACGCTGTTAATTCCGCATACATCCACAACGGAAGGAAACAACACCAAATCGGAAGTCCCAACGTACGGCCCAGTCTGGCCGCTGGCCACAGTAGACACAATCACCTTGGGAATTCCAATCGGAAGCGAGCGAAACGCAGAGGATATAAGGGACGTCCCTCCACTACCTCCAATTCCAATAGCGCCGGCGAGTACACCACTTTCTTGCGCCTTCTTCAGGAAGCATTCCAGCGCCCTACTCATCACCGCGACAGCTTCGGCTCTGTCGTCGGGGAGCGGTACCGTCGATCCCTGCTCCGATGAAGCGAGAACGTCGTTTCTGGATACGAAATTGGGATCTCCATCAGGAATTTTAGCCTCCATTCGACCGACGGAAACATCCACCGCCACAACTTCGACCTGCCGTTCCCCATGGAAGAAATTAGGTGAAGCGCAACTGCAAAAATCCCCACTAACTCAGTCTGGAAAAGTGGAAAGACGGTACCTTATGAGAGGAGGGAGCATTGTTGGAGAAGCAGCGGAGATTGGAGCGGACGGAGTCGGACAGAAACTGGAGCTCGTCGAGCTTGGTATCGGCGGTTCCGACGCAGAAAACTCGCAGAGTTGGATCGGCAGCTTCCATTTCCGTTCCCTTGTGCCCGGCGTCCCGAATTTGATTAAGGAGAAGTCAAGAGTCAAGACAGTGAAGGGATTGAGATGGATTGAATTGAAGCAGCAACTTGGAGTGAGAAGGCGGGGAAAGAGTGAGATCCAGCAAATCCAAAGTGGGTCAGGAGATGCCGCGTGGGAGACAACAAGGAAGGATGACATTGACTCTTTGCCCTCTCGGAGGGAGTTGTTGGAAGGGCACTATCCGTTATTTTGCTGGCACACAGTTTACAGTTTTTGTTAATGAACCAAACTACTCAATAACAATTTGGAGACCGACTCGACAAAATTTGGTTCAACACTTAGATTCGTATTTAATTGACCAGGCTCGCGAACAAAATTATTTATAAACGAGCAAAGCTCATGTTCAACTTATAGGCTCGAGAACAAACTCAAAGGCGAGAAAGAAGTGGGCTATTTCTTTGCAAAATTGTGCTCAATTTCATATGTGGCAATTCCGCCAAGATCTCTTCCTTAGTTGGGGTAATAATCCGCACGAATCGGATTTTTTGAGGAACATACCGAGAGAGGATTGGATTTGGTTAGACAATGTGTGGTTGGTAAACAAAGATCGGTTTTTTAGCAAGGCACGGAATACATCGTCAAATATTCAATATGATTCCACAAGATCTAGTTTCATTCAAGAAAAGGATTCTAGCCAATTGAAGGGATCTTCTTATCAATCCAGAGATCATTTAAGTCTTTGTTGTTGGTGTTTTGTGAGCCAAGTTCGAGCTCGAGATTGATCGACAATCGATATTTTATCAGCTGAACTAGATTTTTACTCATTAGAGTCATTTGACGATCCGAGCTCGAGTCCAATTCGAGCTTCTATTTTTGTAAACGAGCCAAGCTCGAGCTTGCATATTAAAGTTCGTGTCGAACTCGAGTTCACTTCGAGTTTGAAGTTATTTTAATGAGTTGAGTCCGAACCATGGCATAGCTCGATTCGGATCATTAACAACCCTATTAAATACCCTCCTTTATTGGATGACAACACATCCGGAGTGAGCTCTTAAACTCACAAATGCACTCTAAGCCACCCGCAATCCACTCATCCATTATGATATGGTTCCTATAGGTGGAGTGTTACTTGTAAAATATGTGACATTAAAAATTGAGTAGATTCGGTTGATACACGATCCATCTAACTTTATAACCTCAAATCAACGAATTTCTAACTTAAAGTTCTAAGTAAAATGAAATCCTCAAAATAAAAATAAAAATCCACCCAATTTCTATAATTCATAAACACTAATTATCCTTCGTACTCAATTTTGAAAGAATATATTCTCAAATTAGTGTTATTGATGATAATTGCGAAGCCTAATTTATTTTCATTGCTGGAAATATATATGAGATGTTCACTACCTTCTACCATTCATCGTTAACTTTTATTGTTTATATAGTAATTTGGATTATCCTATTCTTTGGTTACATAAATGTTCAGGTTGTGGCTTGAAGTCTTTGATAATTATTTAGATTAGATCTATAATGAAGATTCATCTTCATTTTACATTTGGTTATTATTAAACTTAGACAATATTTTTCAGTTCAATATTTTATATTTGTGAATAATTACTAATACCAATATTTTAAATTAAATGATGCATCTTATTTATGAACTAAAGGCTAAATTACAAGTTTGGTCACTTCAATTATACAAATCTTTCACGTTTGTCATCCAAATTACTTTTCTTTATTATTCGTCACTAACTTTACGAATCGTTTCATCGTTAGTCACCGGTCGTTACACTCCGTTAAATTTGTCCTACGTGGCAGTCAACTATAAAGTTTGACCATTAACTAGAAGACGTGAAAATTTAAAAAAATAAAAAATAAATTTATTTATTTGTCCAAATCATTATTCCACCTACTTTCTGTATATGATTTATCATATTACTTATTTAATAAAAAAATAATTATATTACAAAAATAAATAATATGATAAATTAATCACTAGCTCCAACATCACCAAATCCTGACTCGCCGGCTGCGACGACGACGACGACCCTTCCAGCGAGTCTAAGCATGCTCGAGTAGTAATGCAACGCCTCCGTGAACCTGTCCACGAACACCGGCCCGCTGTGGTTCACTTCCTGCTCCACCACCGTCACGATCTTTGGCTTCGTCGCCTTGATCGTCGACAACACCTTGTCCATCCAGACGCTCCAGCCAAGGAAGCGGTGGATCTCGAACATCGAGTTCACCGCCATCGCCTCCACGTCTGCCGGGCGCAAATCTAGCATCTCGGGCTCCAGATCTGCCAAGCTGTTGGCCAAGAACCCTCGGGATTCAAATTCCACGACCATTGTCTCTGCCAGATGCGCCAGTTTCCACTCCACCTGCTGTAAATTGTCGTAGTTGTTGGGCTGGGGACGCCCGATTCTGGTAAATCGGAAGGCCGGCGGCACACTGAGGCGTATTGCTAGGGCCTGCATAAGACCGGACTACTGCATCCCTTGAAAAATTAATCGAGTGGTTCCTCTAAAAGGAACTGTGTTGTAATGGAAATACTAATCGAATAACAGAACCAATTTGACTCTTCTCTTCTTCCCCTCCCTGTATTCTTTCTCTGTTACTTTCTCTTCTTCTTCAATCTCTCCTTCCTCAATCTTTCCCCTTCTATTATCCATTCCTTTTCTGTAACTTCATTAACAACCTTCTTTCCCGATTCGCCAAGATTACACTTCCAACAGACTGGCGCATTATAGTAAATCTTGTATATCCGGCGAGCTAGAGCCTTTGCGAAGTAGGTTGCTGCTTTCCTCAGGGCGCCAGTCTGGGACGCCACCAGTAAGCCTATGTGCTTTGTGATTGCATCGGCGAGCTTCACGTTGTCTTATTGAACCGCCTCGGCGCAGGCCAGGAGAGTATGGACGAGACTGACACCGACCTCCTGTGAATCTATTAGCACCCAACTCGACTGTACCAAAATCGGCTGGACCATCTTCTATGAGCAGGGCCACCGCCACACCGGACAAATAAATTTTATTTTTCTATTCTTTTAATTTCTATGTCATCTAGTTAACGGTCAAACTTTATAGTTGACTGCCACATAGGACAAATTTAATGGAGTGTAACGACCAGTGACTAATAGTGAAACGATTTGTAAAGTTAGTGGCGAATAAGAAAGAAAAGTAATCCGGATAGCAAACGTGAAAGATTTATATAATTCGAGTGACTAAACATTTAATTTAGCCATGAACTAAACATTGTTTAGTTTGGAGATTTCTTTCATTTTAACCTAAAAAAAAATTGGAATTGTATGTTCATTTGAAAAGTTTTTGTTACAAATTTTGAAAAGTATGTTTTAAACCACCATCATCGACAATCACCTAACAAAATACAATCACAAATACATGTTTTAATAGATATGAATCGTTTTTTTCTTCATCTATCACGTATTACATGGTTTTGAACCCCATCCAAATATACATAGAACGACCCACTACAACACTACCCACCCCTTCGAGGAAATCAAAGCCAATCTAAAAAAATTAGAATTCTCTCGACTCTCAATTCAACTGCCGGAAATTGCCAAATTGGATTGGACTGGTGGGGTCCTGGGCCTGGTGGGCCGGTGGAGTCGTGTTTGGTGGGATAGTGCAGCAAGGTCTTTGGGCTTGATCATGGGTGGGTCGGTGAGCTAGTTGGCCACAGTTTGGCACAGTTTTATCGGGTCTAGAATGATATCTAATTGGTATGCATTCCCACTCCCAAAGAATGCCTCAAACACTGAAGATAGGGATTAGGGTGAGTGAACATAGGGTGACAACGCCTCTTGTATTGTTAGGGTAACAACATCATGTCCATCCAATAAAAAGTTAGGATTATGCTTACTTTTAATTAATTAGGTTGACTCAAATTAGGTGTGTGGGCTTGTCTTTTGACATTTCTCTTCTTATAAAGCCTTTGCTCTCTTGTTTTGACGATGTCATCACCTAACATTTTTCTCCTATGTCGTGGCTTCTTTTGGACTCTTCTTGTGGGCCTTCTCTAAGTATTATGTTTTGGCTTCATACCCTAGAAATTGTCAACCTTTGCGTGACCAATCCCAAGGTCAGTGGTTGATGAAGCATGATGTTTGTCGTGCATCCTTAACAAAGAATTCAATAACATTCACACATGTCATTTTTCAAGGTAACATATGTCTCATCCTAGAGTATGAAGTCAAAGTTCATTAACAATCATACTTGAGTCATTTTGAAAACCTCAATTTATTTTCTCGACAGTCAGTCTTATTTTGAATACAAAATTTCTTAGCATATGACTAGGACCTCAATAAGGCTTGCTCAATCATCATAATTGATCTAGAGAAAATATTATTAATTTGAACTTAGGACTCTTTAGACATTATCAAGTGTTGTACATGTAATTCCTCTTCATTTGATAATTTTATAGATAGATGTTCTTATTTAATCGATATAAATAAGAAGTCTTTTTTAAAATTTCCATTATTGCTCCATCAAGTTCATATTCATGTCGCTTGCTATATAATACATGTTTTATTTGATATTCATATAAATTATAAAAAGAAGAGACTAATTGATAGCCTTAACTGTAAAATAACATAGTTTAATTTACAAATTTGATTGATCATCAAACGTTTGTTTTCTTTCCCTCCTTTGTTATATTTTGTTTAACCAATAAAGATATTAGGGTATGTCTATGGTGACTTGCAAGTTACAAGGACTTGGACAAAACAGTCAATCGAGAAGTGGTCGTTGGTCACTGATTACACGAATGTGTCCATTTTGATGGAAGATTACGGTCGACCTTAAATATGGACGGGTCGACCGTGCGTAAGAGACTCATAAGCAGAAAGATCGGCCTTTCTAGCAAAGTGGTAAACTATATCAATAAGAGGTCGACCATTCCAAAGAAGAGATCGACCACACAAAATAACGCTACACCCTCCAACTTGACAACCCAACCTCTTGGTAGATTAAAACGATTGGTTTCACAATTGGCCTTGTACAAGAGCAACAACCTTGAATTGTTGCCTATACGGGTCTACCTAGCTATGTAGTCCAATCGACATCATAGGACCGAGAAGGTCATGCACATTTTGAAATCTGACAAAGTACCATAGAAATATTTACATTATATCGACAATCATAGTGGCAAGAAACCATATCTTCTTAGAAGCTTAATCAATAGAAAACACAATAAACCCACCTCATAATAGTTCACACATATCTCAAATCCAAAACCTCAACAACTTAATCTCAATCGGCTATCATAGTTGCTTTAAACCAACTTGTCTTATAAGCTTAATAGATCACACCAAAATAAATAAAAAGCATGATGTAATTTATGGAGTTCCTTGATATCTCTCCTCTCACTCACCTTGATTATCCCAATCGCGATCCTAAAATTATGGTGCTCGAATGTGTTGGGATACATGTATCTTTCATTGAAAGAACAAAAATCATCCCGCATCTAAGTTACAATCACCTGAAGATAGTGCTCATTTGGATGGATATTTGCCTCACTATGCATTGTCATCTTTATAGTCCATGTTTGTTTCTTCATGCTCAACATTCTAAGTACCATCGTCCTTGTTTGTATCTAATGACTTGATATTTGCACATGTTTTCCCCGTTGTTTCTTGATCGTTTAAGCTTGCATTATCGCTTCTTTGGCCTATTTTACGCTAGGTTTTGTTCCTTGGTCACATTTCAGGTCCTAGCACATAAAGTGAAGCGTAGGCGCAAGTTTCAAGTCCATTGGAGATCAATTGGCGACTCGGGGGGAAGAAACTCGGGTATGACTTGAAGAAGAATGGATTTCTACCTCCGTTTGTGACCATAGAATCATGTAAGCTTGTCACGAGAAGAAAGAGGACGAGACTACAAGCGTCTGGGATCAAACGACACCTGATTTGGAGTCCGAACGAGGGAGAAACGAAGAATCAAAGATAGGGGACCCAGAACTGCAAAATACCCGACCGGGTATTTTGACCATCTGATAGGGTATTTTTGACAGCATCATAAGGCCCCCCAGCCGTTAACCAAAAATACCAGACCGGGTCACGAACGCAGGCTGTTAAAAGCCTGTTTTGTGTGTTTTTGGAGGGGGAGAGCTGGGTTTTGCATCCCAAACACCCAAGGGACGAACCAAAGAGAGAGAGAGTGCGATTTGAGGGCATTCTTGGAGTGGAATTGGAGGATTTCTTCGCCTTGGAAGCTCAAGGAATAAGCCCGGACTTGAAGACTGATCATCTGAATATTCTTACTGCAGTCTCTCTCTTCTCTATGGAGTAACTTCCCTTCACTTAGGTTTTGAGGAACCCTAGCTATGTTTGTTTGATTGGATGATTGTATGAGTACTCCTACTTGATAATCTTGAGCTCATATTCAATCTATGCACGTTTTCATGATTCAATTCTTCTTTAGTCGAGATTATTGATTCTGCTTTGATCCTATGAGAGCGAATACCTGATTAGATCAATAGAGCAACATAGATTGATAGTATTGGATCGATTGCTTTAGTCGAGGGTCGATTCACTGCTTTGTATCGATTGAGAACCTCATTCGATAGAGGGATTCTAGTTCAGAATGCCTTGACGGTTGTTCTAGGAAGGATACGTCCCTCTAGGCAATCAACTCAAGAGGGCCTTGATCCTTTAGTCGAGATTCAAGATCTAGTCAAGGATTCTCCGCATTGTGAATGAAAGTGAAACAAGTTAGAAATCATCAATTATTAATCTGGCTAGTGGCTAGGGGGAATCATACCTAAGTGAGTTCCCAACCTGTAATTAGATTAACTTTAACTATAGTTTGTTAGAGTAGTTTTAGTTCTTCCATCTTAATCTGGTTTGCTAGATAATGAACTGAAGCTGAGTAATAGTAACTCTAGAGGCCCGTGGATTCAATATTTATTACTTGAGCCACTATACTGCAGTCCCTTTCATTGGTTATACTTGGCCATTGTTAGGAGTTTTGTCATAGCGAGTCAAGTTTTTGGCGCCGTTGCCGGGGACTTTCTAGATTATTAGGAAAGGCAGAAGTTTGTTACTTTAGCGCTTTTCTTTTATTTTCCACCCTTGCTTTTCACTTGGGTGTTTTTGTTTTTGTTGGTGCAGATCTGAATCATGGATCCTCATGGCTTCTCCAACCATTGGGGGTATCCAACACTGTATGAGTTGTGTGACCCCGTGACTTCCTGGAGAAATCAAGGAGGAGAAGACTATGGATTCGGGTTTCAGTACCAACCCCCTTACTATGGAGAACAACCGGACCCTTGGACATTTCAAGAACAATATCCTTATGAAGAAGAATTCCTCCCACAACCAGAAGGGCCATCGGAGCTAGAGTTAGCCATGGCGGCCTTCACGGGCTATTCTGCAAAGCCATGCTACACTCCACGACCAGATCCAAACTATGAATTGAGGCTTCTCGTGGAGCAGTTTGCTCAGGACACCGAGAGACACAATCGCAAGATGGACCTCCTTTTCCCATCTTTTGTCCT